AATGCTACTATAATCACTGATAATTGAGGACATGCTTTTCCCTGCTTATTGTATGTCTGCACAATCTACAAGACTCATTAGCTTTTCTAATGAGTCTTGCAACAATATAATGGTCTGACATCATTTTTTCTCAGCATACTTTAAAGGTGGAATATATGACATTCATATATTCTGGGCCAAGATTGCCTCCACACGGCTCTCACCTCTGACTTCACAAGCAGACATGGAGGTGACTCAGCCAAAATGGCGATGGGTAGCAGTTTTTTGCACTAATTTTGCCAGCTGTTATACTGATGCTCTGAATGTCTATAGAACCTTAAAGTGTTTGCTGCAGGAGTGTGAAACCAAAGTGTTGTGTCTGATGGGTGCTTTATTTCTGTATGGAACAAAACTTTCTATCAAAATACATTATTCACTCTAAAAGCTGCTAACAAGGTGTATGAATTTATTAACACCAGGTGCTCTGTGGACCAGGCCTTCTTTCTCACATTCACATAGAGCTGTACTCTTCTTTTTTCTGCTTTCCTTGTGATATTTGGTTTCTTCTCATGAATGTGACTGTGGTAAAGTGCAATTCTTATCACTCAGATCTGTGCTTATACACCCTGCTTATTCAGGTAGGACGTATTATATCCGTGCTGTATTTATAGCTTTAAAAGTAATGCCTAGAGGACCAATCCTTGTTGACACTATTTTACCACTTTTAATTATAATATTATTATAATTATATTTTAATTATACACACATGTAGCTGTTGATTGAAAGATTTTTATGTGACATACAACATGGAGCTGTTGGTGTATGCACAGCCTCTTTAGATGTAGATGTGGCTGGTTGGTCCCCTTCCTATACTCAGACTGTTCCCGCAGACTGCTGTTGGCTCTGTTTGTCTCCTCACTTGATATCACTGTACTATTTGTTTCATTGGGTGTTGGGTCCCCTGGGACCAGAGCAGCATGGCAACCAAATGTGTCATCTTCTCCCAGGCTAATTTAATTTAAGATGCCATTTATTCGCTTGTGGCAATACTGCACCTCCTGTGCAAGGACAATAATTTCCTCTAAAGGGAGGCTATGTGGGCTGATATAACTGGACTATTTACACACTCCCTGGATCTCACAGTTACTTTACATGTGGTCACATGCTTTGCCTTGTTCTACCACTAATGCATAATATTCATTGGACATTAGTGAACGAAATGATTTGTTTTTTGCTGGTTTGTTTTAAACCAAAGTAAAGAGTAAAGTTTCCATTTATGCTTTGGAAAAAAAGTTGTATTTTTGTGTCTACACGTGGATAAGAACATTTCCTTTTTTTATTCTGTTGTTATTAATATCAGCATTTTGTTTGTTTTGTTGATTGTTATTTGATATCATGCTAAAAAGAATACCAATGGCAATGTTCATTCCTGGTGTGATTTTTGAGAGAGTTCCCAGAGTGTGCTCTTCTGCTCCGAGAGTGTGGCTGGGAATGTTGCCGCCACAAATAACCTCAACTGTCACCACTGTTAACCAAACTATTTACATAATTTACATTGTGGTTTATTTGGAGTTGTCGTGGAGGAAGACGACGGTATCCATCAACGATTTCCCTCTATGTTTTTTGTTAATTTTAAACTTCTCCTGACCAGTTTCGTTTTACCTCCCCCATCCTTAGCTAGGCTACATGAATATGCACAACCTGTAATAGCCTAAGTGTTGCATTCATGTGTTTTCACATAAATAACCAACCCTGGCACTGAACAAGAAGAAGCCCAACACAGTTAGTCCATCATTTTTATTTAATTTCACTCTATATTTTCACTAAAAAGAACTTGAGGCACCATATCAACAAGGCTAAACCTGGCCCGAACCCGATTATCAATTGTAAATATTTGCCTGAACCTGGCCTGACCTTTTGGGTCCCAATGGTTCCGGTCAGTCACAGGTCTGGTATTCACACTCTAATATGCACACACTCTGCAATTCTTTTTGGGTTATTGCCCCAAAGGCAGCATAGTCAGTCAGGGTCATATGTTAGGAGAGACAGGCTGACCTTCACAGCCACAGGACTGCTAGGACACAGTGGGAGGCAGGGAGGGAGAAAGAGAGTTTAGGATGCCAGATGTCAAAGGATATAAAGATGTTAAATGTTGAATAGTACTAGTAAGGGCAAGTTGGAACCACAGCAATCATCCACACTAGAAACAAATTTAAAGCCGCTACAAGGAACCTTTAACTGGATATGCAAAAGTCTCTCGTTTCTGCTGATGTCTGTGTGTGACCTACAACAGCAAATGAGACCATCGGTGTGAAGATAAGCTATTTCTATATAGTGTATATCCATACCTTTAGGAAACTGTCTCCGGGTCCGCCCCAGGTCGCTTCCAGGACGAAACGATTTACGGCACTCAGACGGCACATGTCATCTTACCTAGCTGCTTACATTTATAGTGACTCTTATAAATAGTTGCTATTCCTCCTCCTCAACCCGACGTCCGCGGGGAGTTAAAATAGTCATCGGGTAAAAGTTCTGTGAAAGCACTGGACTCACCAACAGTCAGCCACGTCTCAGTCACACAGAGAAAATCCAATCCTCGGGAAGTCAGGAAATCCTTCAGGATAAACGTTTTGTTTGCTAGCGATCTAGCATTTACCAGCACCGCTCCATACTCAGTCCAAGAAACTGTGGAAGTGCTCGCCAAACAGGCCTTCAGCCTAACCAGCCGACCGCTGCGTTTACCCGGGCGGCGGTGCCGCTTACGCTGGAGAGGTGGAGCTGGGGCGCGGCAGAGGTGAGCTGGGATCCCTGATAGGAGCGGGGGCAAAGTTTTCCCGTCTTGTTGTTTCATTCACCGCCAAAACAAACACATGTGCGAGCCAGGTAAGCGTCTTTACGTCAATACGCGCTAGAGCTCATGGGAAATGTAGGCTTCATTCCGGCAAAACACTACCGCTTTTGTCCAGAGGGTCGCCAAAATCAACTCAAAATGAAAGTTCCTTGTAGGGGCTTTAAAATGGTTCATTTTCAATAAACTGAGAAATTGGAAAGTTATATTGACAAGTTTACAGTTGGCAAAGAAATGCTGTCAGCTCTTTGGGAAAAAATGTGAGCTAGCTGCTTATACTCTGCTAAATTTGGTATATATATATATATATATTTTATTTTTTTTTTTTTTTTTTTAGAGATTTATTTTGTGGGCTTTTTGCCTTTAATGACAGGACAGTGAGTGAAGGGGGGAGACAGAGAGAGAGAGAGAGTGGGGACCAGAGCATGTGAGTGGAGCGGACCCGGTGAAAATTTCCACTCCTCGCTCGCAGACCTGTCACTTTACACCGCTCGTCCGCTCCGCTTGGTTCTGCGCATTCTTCGTTCCGCTCCACTCCATCATAAATTTTATCCCGCTCCACTCGCTCACCACTCCGCTCAAATAAACTGCGTCATACTACCCTAACCTGTAATCTTCTATTCACAAATAAAACATGAGCTTGGTAAATTCTCCGGGGAAACCCTCTCACCTCTCCCCGCAGTGAGGGACCGTTCTCCACGGTACCGCTGTCGGCAGGGTGGAAATAAGTCAAAGTGTGGAGGAGACTGTCTGGGTTAAGCGGCCAACCTCTGGGGAAGCCCTCTCGCCTCTCCCCGCAGTTAGGGACCATTCTCCAAGGTACCGCTGCTTCTCTTCTCACTTTCTTTTCTGAAGTACACAGTAAACTCCATAGTTTTGAAAGAAAATAGTGTGGGTGTGCGCAGGTGCAAAGATGCATTCTGGGTGGGGCATGAGCGACCGGAGCGAAATTGGAGCGAGAGATAAGGCTCCACTCAACCTTTAAAAAAAAAAAAAAATAGCTGCTCCTCGCTCAACACAAAATCCTTACGCTCCTCTGCTCCGCTCAAGCTCTGCTCACATGCTCTGGTGGGGACTGACATGCAGCAAAGGGCCGCGATTCCAGATTCCCAGATTCCCAGATTGGAACCCGCAGCCGCTGCAGCAAGGCAATGCCTCTGTACATGGGATGCCGGCACTATCCACTACTCTACCGACGCCCCCAAATTTGGTATATTTCCTGCACAAATATGCCACACTGTTACCTTTGTCATTTTAGTAGTAAGGTTGTTATTTTTCCAGTGGAAATGTCTGATAACCATAACCCCAATCAGAGCCCCAATATATTACTGCTATGCCCTCTGTCCAGATTTTCTGCATTTCAGTTAGTCCCGAGGAAAATTATCATATACTGAAAACTGATTTAATGAATAAATGAATGAATACACTCAGATTAAATCTGATAGTGTAATTATAGAAATGACTGACAGAAATGTCACATCCAAAGTAATTGCATTAATCCCCTATATGCAGTCATAGAAGCATATCACTTCCAAAATAAGCATTCAGTACGTTACATCTATCTGTTCTATATACCGTGATGGTGATCTGTCAGACTGCACTGACCTACTTTAAACTGGCACTGCCACTGTGTTTTTTTCCCCTCCATTGCCAACATGACAGTCCAAGGTCTCAGGTCAGATCATTAAGGTGTCTGACCCCAACAACCTGCTGCCAGATTGCTCTGCCACTGCCCATAACTCACTGAAACCACACCAACAAGGCTTTAGTGCAAAGTGCCAAGTGACAGTCCGTATAGAAAGCCTCTGTGGTCATAATATGATAAAGTTCACTCAGATTAGCAGAAGTGTTAACACTGTGTTCTTAAATCATGAGATTGGAGAGTGTTGGGGATATACTGTATACAGAAAAGCTGTAAAGGAGTATGGGTCAGCTTGTAACACACAGTTTTCAAAGATAAGCACTACACACAGTCACATCTTCCATTCTTCACACACCAATCATGTCTAGGACTGCCGTGTCAGTATTTATACAGTTGTGACCTTCCCCTCTGTGACCTCTTGATCCTCTTCAGCATGTATAGTTTACTGGCTGGCTGTCCAACACCGGATAAATCACATGTGATCTATTCTCTCTCTCCCTTCCCCTCATGTCCCCAAATACCGCTCTCCAGAGAAGACATGCAGTTACCAGGTAAAGGCAGAGACACGATGGACTGATGCTGTGGGGAAAGAATCAATCGATCCTGCCAGCAACAGGGGCGAAAAACAGGATGCAGAGTAAGGTATTTGTTCTTGTTTCTGTATGTGTGCCTGTGCATACACATACTGTATGTGCTGTGTATAGAATAACAGAAGTTTTGGGCCACCACAAGCCTCTAGTACATGTCCAATGGTCTTTGGCTTGCAGTAGATTGTATGACTGGTGTGATGAACACCATTCCTCCCAAAGATATATCCCCATTTGGTGTTCGATGATAGTGGTGCAGAGCACTGTCTATCATGCTAGTCCCGAAATCTCCCACAGGTGTTCAATTAGGTTGAGATCTGGTGAGTGCAAAGGCCACAGCTCATGATTCATATCATTTTTATCCTCATCAAACCATTCAGTGACCCCTCAAGGCCATGTGAAAGCATCTTTTTATGTTTCTTTGAGCATTTCTTCATGTTTTTCTTTTGATTTGTGACCCATCTCTGTGTTTCCATCCAAATGTGGTACAAATATTACAGGAATTCATAGAATTCAGCATAAAAATAATCTGTTTTTACTATGCCACTACTACTATAATATGAACTATGCCCATTTCCAAAACTCATACATGTTCCTATGATCTATGACAGTCCAAATATATTAGTTAACATGAACAGCTCTCTCCTAAATCTAAAAATTGGAGTGCTAAAACTCGATGTGTTGTCATAGGGTGTAAAGTCTGGACAATGACAATGGACAATGACCAGGGAAAGATGCTACAGATGATACTTATAGCACCCAGGGGAATAAGTATATTGGTATATTTCCTGTTTCAGAACTGAGAGCATCCAGAAGAATAGAGCTCATTTGGGAAGAAAAACATTCTGTGGGTGCAGCTTCAGACATTATACCCTGTGACATCACAAGTTTGAGACTCACTTCTCTGGTTTCTGGCTTTGAGAAAGAGTAGCTCACGTTCACAAATATTGGTTGACCTTTTCTAGGCCATGGAAATAACATGTTGAATTCTTTGCTGAAATTGTCACTATATTCACACAGCAATAAATAGAAAAATAATCTGTGAAAAAAAAATCATATTCCTCTGCCTCCTCTATTGCCTTGTAGCCTTCTAATAGTCTTACCAAACGTGAAAGAAAACAACCAATCAGAGTCGAGGAGTGTCTAACTCAGCTGTCAGTCATGTTAGTTGCTTTGTGAATTTTGGTCAAACTGTCAAAGTAGGCAGCGCTGATGAAATATGAATCAAGATTCTGTTACTGCGTTGCCTATTTCTCACCTCACATGTTCTCAGAAACATATTTTACTATTTAGTAGTAAAATGAGAAAGTTTGTTACCTGGCTGGTAGGTGGTGCAAAGTTTTTGCTTGACATGGCGGCCAGGTCACAAACGTTCTCATTTTACAGTTAAACAGTACACTAAAATATGTTAATGAAACATTTGAGGTGAGAAATAGGCAATGGAGTAACATGAGTCTTGATTCATATTTGATCAGCGTCACCTAGTTTGACAGTTTGACTGCAGTTCACAAGCACTGATTGACATGATTAACAGTTATGTTAGAGACTCCGACACTGATTGGTTGTTTTCCATGTGCTGCGGTCTGATTTGAAAAAAATGCCATTAGTAGTAGTAGGAAGAGGAAAAGAGACATGATAGGGTGACAGTTACAGAAATTATGACAAAGTTATTTTCCATAAAAGTAGCTTTAAAAGAAGGGACCAACTTTACATTCACAGCCTTTTTGTTGCTACTCTCCATTTTACATAATACAGTCCTCCAGGTACTTTTTAAAAATTTACATATATTTTTACATAACCTGCTTGGTCCAGTCTTTAACCAACACTGACATGACTCTCACGGCAGCACCAGCACTGTCATGTAGGCCTAGTAAGCACTGCTGGCTCTGTTCTCAGCTTGCCATTTATTTACATATCTCTGGCTTCAACGATATGCTTGTAATGTTTTTTTCTAGTCCAACAAAACCTTTTTATGGGCTATGAGCTTAAATTCCACAAGCCACCATTTATGCAGCAACCTGGTGATATACTTCCAAGTAGCTGCTGTTAGAGGGGCCTTTAGGAGGGCAAATGGGTGTATTTAACACCTAGGGGAAAAGGCCTGGCACTCTAAACTGAGTATTATCCTCTCAAAACTTACCTACTATTACTGACAAATGCCCACTGAAATCATAGGAAGGTTGTCAGTACATCTTGGGTGTTAAGGCTATGCGCACCTGGCACCACTTGATGGTAAGCCTGGAGCAAGAGCACCAACCTTTCAACATTAGTGAATAAAAAGCACCAGTTACCTGATTAAAAGTTAACACGTGGACACATTTGGGTTCAGCTGTTCAGCAGGAGGGGATGTGTGCCTATTTAACAGCTCAAGTGAAGTTAGAGAATGGGCTACAGTGCATGGGAGGCCTCAGGAGACACACATGTTGACAGGAAATAATGAATCAGGAGGAACCCTCTGGAGGTTCAGGAGATGAGGGGAAAGACAGAAAGAAGGATGAGGGAAAGAAGGAGTGAGACGAGGGGAAAGAGGTGAGAGGAGGGGAGAGATGAGGAAAAAATGGCTCTGGGCTGTTGATGTAAAAAATCCATCTATACCTGTGTGGCATTTGTGTTGCGTGTGGATGTTTTTTTCACTTTAATGTGCATGAATGTATATGTGCTGGTGTGTATGTGCATTTGTGTTCCCGCTCTTCAAGTGAGCTTTGTGTGCATCATCAGCGGCAGAGCAGCTATCATATACAAACGGTCTCTTGGGGAAAAGAGGCAAAATACCTTTAAGTGACAGACATGTGTCATATCAACATCAGACAGAAGGGAGAGATAAACATCTGTACATCTATTTTCAGGCAGTGTTTGAGGTGAGTTTTGCACAGTAATTTTTTATTCCCCCAGAAGAGTTTTGTATCACTGGTGAGAAGAAGAGGCAGCGCTCTCAGATAAACACATAATATTGAATCAGACAAGTGGCCAAGGAAATTAATGCATCTGTCAGTGCCACATTATAAATTCAGACATTTTACATACAGAGGTGATCATCAGGAACTCCACATCAGAAAAAAAAAATAGATGAGACATATTCTGGCAACAGAGTCCCTTCCCCCCTCCTTTCTCATTGAAGGGAAAATATGATTGTGTCTCTGTATGTGCAGAGTAAATGGGAGATAAATTCTGTTTCAGGAAAATGAATTAGTTAGAGGAGAGTGTCTTGTTGAGAAATGGTGCTGTCAGGAAGAGAAGGCACAACAATGGCGATAATAAAGCAAAATGATCTCAGCAGTCTGGGTAGTCACAAGGAACGCAACAACAGCAAACAGTATGGATACGATGAGACCATCTGGTTACTTTCAGTGACGTGATTGTGAAGCTGCCAGTCTTCCCCTTTGTGTTGATCATTAAAGGAATACTTCGCCTACAAAACCATCATTTGTTCATCAGTTACTCACCCTGTGTTATGTTGAATTTGTGACCAAAACTTTGTTTTTCTCACATGCCTCCATGGTGAATGAAGAACCCCAAAATTCTTGATGAAGTGAAGTAAAAGAGGGCAGAAGTTTTTTTGCAAAACTGTATCAAAGAATCCTTCTACGAACTCTTTCACAACCCACACAGTACAGTATAGTCCAAGTCTCATTTATCCATTCGTTTGCTCAGTTCTTCCCAAACACATGCATTTTAGCTAAAACCTTAGTATTTAAAACACCTCTACATAAACAGTCGCAGGCACGGCAGAGTAATACACATGGGCAAGCATGTGCCTTTTAGCCTTGCTCAGTGGAAGGCACGAGCAGAGTTCAAATGCACACACTTGCCAGGTGTGCTACTCTTATGCAAGTGTTTTAAATAATAAGGTATTAACGAAGATGAATGTGTTTGGGAAGTGCTCAACGTACGAAGGACCACTGGTGGAACCTGAAAGGACTAGAGCAAGGTATCAACATTAATCCTTAAGCCCAGTTCAGACCAAAGATTCGTGACGAGACAAGTTGAAACAGGCGACTACTCGCAATGCACTGGTCTGCAACGTTCAAAAAACCTGCCAGTTCACACTAATGCAACGAGATGAGACAGTGTAACATCTCTATGCAACAACTCTCTGTGCTCCCGTATTGATTTCCAGCTTTTCAGGCTTATTTTGTGGCTGAATATAATTTGTAGTCTCTTAAAATATGAATGATAGTGATAGTGAGATACTGGTTACAGTTGCATTTGTAGTAGGGATGAAATGGTAAAAACCAAAAGCAAAAGGAGCATCGGATGGACTGTTTCATGATAAATACGCCACAGCAGCGCCACGTAGTTAGTCGCTGAGAATGTGTGTGTGAGGGACCTAACACCTGTCGCAGAAAGTGAACATGCCGTAGTTGGTCATTTTGACTTGACTAGCAGACTTCACTTCAAGCTGACTGGTAGAAACAGGTGACGTGCCTTACTTTCTAAAACCAGCCGCTGGTGATTTGACCAGCAGAGTTACAGGTGACACCATCAGCCGGCTTTAGTTGAGCTCAGATGGTCCGTTCACACTGCTGCAACTTTTCTCTGCAACAGTCCAATAAAGGTTTCATCCTGCCATGGATCACTGGTCTGAACTGGGCTTTAGGATCCCCAAACACTTAAAGCTAGTATTAATAAGGAGAAGCAGGAGTCCAAAGACACGTTTCAGGCTAACTGGCTCAGTATATATCCCTGGCTCAAACCTGGGTATGTTTGGGTATGTTTTGATCTGTAAAATGCTGTGCCTTTTAACAGCCAATGTTACAAATGTCAACTTTAAGTAGCCAATGGGGCGACCTCTATCTCACCTGTTAGAGCGCGCACCCCATGTTGGCTGAGTCCTTCTTCACAGCCTGGGTTCGATATCGTCCTGCGGCCTTCATACCCGCTCTGTTTTCCCTCTTTCCTGTCACTCTCCAGCTGCTCTGTAATAAAGACAATAAAAGCCCTAGAAAATAATAATGAAAAAATTTTAAAAACCTGCAAGTCGCCACCAGAAGGCGGTTCTGATACAGCAAGGAAAGACAAACAATAGAGCATTGTGACAAGGGAGACAAAGTGGTA